ATTAAAAATCACACGACAAACCAAGATATGAGTAGGTTTTTACTTAAGTCTTTGATTTCTACAGGCAGGTTTACCACAATAGTAGATTCAAACCCTGAAATTATGGCTTTTAGTTTCAGTGTGCCACCTCAAGATTTTTAGTGACCCCATCTGGCCACCCCTATTAAACATTTCTGGAGGCACCACTGCCTGGATGTCATGCGGTCTAATTGGAAGTGAAAAGTTGTAGTCTACATTTATCAAGACAAGTGGAAACAAGCTCTTCTGGTACAATGGGGACACAAGTTCAATCTTGCATAAAACTTTGCAACATTTAGCAGCATATCTCTCTGCAGTTTCAAGTTAATATTAGCTGCTGAAACTGTTTTGGATGATTCCTCTGATTTAAAAAAATAATAATATTATATAATATACTGAATTATAATGAAAATCCAATTATAACAATATGTCACCAAACATAAAGGACAGTCCAAAACAGTCTTTTTTTATTGTAATGGTGATTAGTAGGGTTGCAGAGTAGGCACGGCTCAATGGGGACATTACTAGGATTCCCAATTTTGTAAGCTGTTTGACTTATTGGTTATAGTTATAATTTAAGAAAAAACTAGTGATTTTTGGCAGAGAAAGACGTTCACATTGAATCTGGCTCTGCTGGACAATAAAAGGATGCAATCAGCTGGATTCCCTTAGAATCTGACTGTATGATTTGATTGAATTGTCTCTGTAAAATGCCTTGAGATGACACATGTTGTGAATTGAATTTGCTAATTAAACAGCACTGAATTAAAGATAATTACTGAAAAATATAATTTCATAATAAATAACCCTTGGTCTATTACGAACTTTACAAATCAGTGGTTAAAACAAGGAGCATATAAATATAGAGCTACAGAAAGAAAGGTTCAACAGCAACGTCCTCCTGCTGGATCATAAAACTTCTGTACATCTGTTTAACAAACAATTCATGCCTGTTTTCCATCTGTTTACATTATCTGTCTCTCTGTGTTGTTAGGCAGTAAAAAGCCAAACAGATCAACAGAGAGACCAGGGCCAGTTAACTTTAGAGGACAAAAAAAAATGAATGCACATGGAGATTTTTGGATTTCTTTGCATTGACTGGTAAACATGATACAGACAGACAAAAGCAGCAGATAAACCCCAAGTTATCAACAGTTTCAATGTTTCCTCAGACATCTGCAGGGTTTTTTTCCCCTCTCCTGAGAACATGCTATGAAATACATCCTAAAAAGGCAGTTAAGATTTTCTGTAAACTGTTTTGGTAATAAAAAAAACCTCATTTCCATATAAAGTATACAGAAAAATCACCAGAGCCAGAGGCATAAAGCAGAGTTTGTGGGGTTCATTGAACACATTGACTCTGAACAGTGGATCGAAAGAGGAAATAATGTGTTTTAAGCTTCTCTTTCATATTTAGTATTTCATCAAAGAGAAGTAGTGCCAAACCGGATACTCTCATACCATCAGCTACCTTCAGCCATTAAACCCAAGCACACAGCCTTGTCTAGAGGCTGAAACAACTGAGACACAGCAGCAAGTAAGAGCTTCCTGTAAGAACAGAAGATCAATTATTTTCTTTTACACCACTCACGTTATCTTACTCTCCATACAATGCCTACTCTATGACTGGACTTTTTTTTTCTTCCCCATAATCAGCTTCAGAGAATCTGAATTGTCTCATGCAGTCCGCAGCGCACTTGATCAGCAACTGCAGTCACGCAACAGAGAGGAACCAACTTTCTGTGGCAACCTCTTTAGCCGCTTCTTCCTTCCAAAGAGATAAAACTTTCCAGTTCACTTTTCGAAGAGGTGATGCATCATCCTTCATTTTTATTTCTGCAGTTTGCTCAGACACAGTCTTGGTAAAAGAATGACGGGCAGGAGGCAACTCTTGAGTAGGGTGAGGAATGAAAAAAAAAAAAAAAAACCTTAAGGAAATATTGTCTTCCTTCACCTTTTTTACAGAAGCTATAAGCGTTTAGTGTATTTTATACAGCAATGAATCCAACTCTACATGTTTTTGTTGCTAGTATGTAAACAGTTCAAGGTTGGTACAAATTGACAATCTAAGGTCATCAGTAGAAAACAGGGTGGAGGTCATGGTATAGTTCCGGCGGGACCCAGGTTGTGGTGCTTGAAATGAAAGTTAATAGATTTATGTAAAAAAATATGTACAAAAGTACCACCTGAATAGCCATTAATTGAGGTGAAAAGGTTTCTTTTTTCAGCTATGGTTTAAATCCCTGCGAACTCAGTGCACTGATATGACAGAACATCCTCCACCGTTAACCCTTTTCATATACATCAATATGGCTGCAAAGACTGACAGCACAGCAATAAAGTCCAGCTGCTCTGCGCATAGTCCACTGTGTTCAGAAATGGGTCGGGATTATTTTGGCTGAACATTCTTTACAATCACGAGTGGCGTAGAAGGATCAATCATCTCCGTGTTTGGTGTGTACACCACATCACTTGGATTCTGGAATAAAATAAAGAAAGAGTGTCAAAGCATTTGCGGAAATGGAGAGAAACTGAAATAAATACGGATGTTTTTATATTATTAAGCGGGAAAAAAACCCACCTTAGTTTCCCTGTTAATGTTAAACCAATCCTTTATTACAGACCGCTCCAGTCCGGGCCTAAAAATATGTTCATGTCTGCAAAGAAAATAAAATAAACACGTGTCAGTAAATTAGTCTCTCGTTTCACATGGTAGTAATAAGAAAAACATTTAACATCTTTTTTTCATGTTTTTAAAACACAAGGGGAAAATTCACATTGAATAAGACAGCATAATATAATCCTAAACACATAATGGTACATGATATCTACATTATAGTCGAGCAACAATACAGCAGAAAGAGTTTTTACAGCCCTCTGCCAGATTCCTTTACTAATGCCAATAATCGCTTGAGCGATTCTAAACAGTCTGTTTTTATCCTTCACGCCTAACTGTCCAAACCACGTGCACAAAGTTCAAACACTTTCAAAAGGATTTTTAAAAACTGTATCCAAAATATACAGTAGATTGTTTGCTTTTTTCTTTTAATCGAGCCACAGATGCTTAAATGGATTTCAGTCCTGAAATGAGCTGTTCTAGTAAGTTCTATAAAAAGTGTAGCTCTGGCTCCACATTTTTGATCATCCTGGTTTTCTTCAGTCTCAAATCCTTTTCAGCCTCTAACAATCTACCAGGTTTGCACTGAACTGAGCTACATTTAACGTCTCATTGCCTCTGTGTTGTTTCTATATAGTGTTCAGGGTTTTGTTTTTTGTTTTTTTAACACAAATAGCATTTTAAATGTCATCAAAAAGTTCAACTGTGGTCTAAAATAACAATCATTTTCTCTGCTCCTTCATGAAACACTAACTTTAGTCTGTCATATAATTTTTTCTAACTCAGGAGTGGATGTTCTAGAACAAATTTACCAAGGGGGCCAGGGTGGGGCCGGTGTTTTTACATGGGATGGGGGCACATAACTAAAGAAAAACACACACGAAAAAGGGAAACAGCAGATTTTTATGTATATTAAGTGAGCCTCAAAGCCAAGATTACAGATGCTTGAAGGAGACAAGGCGTTCCGAAACATTTCCGCCGGTGATCCCAAAAATAACGAAGCAAAAGACTACAGAGCTTTTAAAAATCTGTAGGATTCCTTTCCTCTCTTCCTCTCTTAAAAATTATATTAAATGATCTAATTCAGGGGTCTTCAACATTTTCCTAGTCAAGGACACTCAAACTGATGGAGCGGGCACTGGTCCTATAGTCACTCTATTACAGATGGAGTAATGTAACAAAAGTAATTTCACCCTGGGATTCTGATTCTGATTCCTGGTTGATGGGACAGGTGTTGTGAATGAAACGGTGCCCCGCTTGAAAGAGCTCCTGTGTGTCGCTGAATGTGTGCATTGATGACTGAAAGGCATCTTCTGCCTCCATTATCTGTTTACTACAGTGTGTTGAATTAATCTTAGAATGTATTTAAAGACATTCTAATTAGTGGAAAAAAATTGCAGGTGGGAATATATAAAAAAAAAAAAGTCTAATCATTTAAAACTTTCGCGACCCCCATGCAGTACCTCTGTGGACCCCCTAGGAGTCACGGACCCTCTGTTGAAGACCTCTGATCTAATTCATCATTTTAAAAGGGTTCAATATGAATGTCTCTGATATTCCTGGTGGCCCTCTGTGGTAGTTGGTCCATTTTTAGCTGATTTTCAGTCCATATTCAGAGAGATTTTATTGGAATATTGCTTTAGAAACAAAATCTATTTTAAACTTACTGTTTCTCATTAAGTTCTTTGTTAACTAGTTCTTTAAAAAAAAAAAAAACACACACAGACAGAGGCCTCACATAATTTATAAGCAGTGGTCTAGTTGTAAAAAAAAAAAGAAGGGTGATGGTGGAAATTTTTTTTTTTTTTTTTTTCTATTTTTGGAAGCATACATAGCCTAATTAATATTCATAATGACCTATTAACCCAAAGCAATATGCCCTTGACCAAGGCACCTTACAGTGGAACTGTAGTGAGTCCCTGGACTGGCATGGCTATCACTGCCCCTACATGGTTAGGGACCAATGCAGTAGACAAATATCCCACTGGGATCAGCTTCATAGTCACAGTTGGCCACTTCTTTGATTTGATTTATTTTGCTCAGGCTACATAAAAAGCCCACAGCCTGCCGAATGCTGAAAGGGCAATATTATTGCCATTACTGTTAATATATAGTATAAATTTTATACAATCAGTAATAAAATGTCACAGAGGATGGTAGGGGGGGATGGTCATTTAAGAAGGGGGATGATTTTTAAGATTTTTTTTTAAGAAGGGAGATGTCATCCCCCTCCTCCCGAGTATTGTTTATAAGGACGTCCACAGAGACAAATTCACAGAAGGACTTCATCCTGTGAGCACACGTTGATTTATTCTTTGAAATTCCCATAAAATAATAACGAAATGTGTGTCCTGCAAATATATTTTTCCTGCAGACTTCCTCTGAACTGAAAAATGTCTTCTGATGCATATTGTTTGTTGTTTATAAATTTAATAATGATTTCCTAATGTATGGCAGTTCCCCAGAAAAGTGCAGCGAAGACAGCTCTTTTAAGAGGCTGTTTCCGGTTTTCTTCTTTGCATCATCGATTCCTAACCATGTTCCCCTATGTGGTAGTGGTTTTTGATACTAGCAATTCTAGATGATTTTCTCTTCACAACTATTATGCAATAGTCCTTCTGTAACAGACATGACCAGAACTGGTAGAGAGGGATGTGGACACACATACTTCTTGAAGCAGTAGAAGGACAGTGCGACACAGAAGCACACGATGATTGGGATGATGATAGTCACCAACTTGGTTGCATCGAAGCAGGTTTTTGTAGTACCTGCAAGAAAAAGGAAGCAAATTCGTTTTAATAAAAAAAAAAAAAAAACAAGTTTGGCATTTTGCTCTAAAAATTCTAACCCCTAAAAAAGTTTTAGCTCAAGAATAAACAGCAGTATCCACAGCAGCAGTCCACCTTTCTTAGGCAGACTTTAAACAGACATGATTGCTTCATACTTCATCCAGTTGCAGTAAATTCCACTGAATGATTTGCATGGAATGATAACAAAAGAAAAGCAAATGCAAGTATGTGCATGTCAAACCTCTGAAGAACACTTCCTCAACTGTTACTACTCTGTTCATTTTATTAAAAAAAAAAATCATGTTAATTTCTTACATACTGTAACTGCAAGTGAATTCGGTCCCAATTTCATTGACAGTTTTTTTTTTCTTTTCTGTTTTTGGGTATTTGATTATGTAACGGCTGTTTTAGGGTCTTGTCAAAGCATTACAATCAGGATGAGGTCTGGGCCATTGCAACACACACACCACCATGCTGGCAGTTGGTACAGAGTGTTTGTGCTGACGTGTAGCTTTCTCTTTTGTCAAATCTCTTTTGAAATGTGGTCAGTCATGTTCAGTATGCCTCCATCTAGAATCTCAAGGGTTGTTGTCTTTCTTTATATGTAACACTGAAAGTGTAAACTTATTTGGCTATCAGGTGCCAACCCTTCATACTCACATTTTTTTGTTTTTTAAGTTGTGTCAACATAAACTGTTCTTGCTGGTGAAAACCTATAGTGTCTGGAATGGAGCACTTTTTTTTATTCTTGTTTTAGTGTTTTACTTTATAGGACTGATATGGTCTGAAATGTCTCCCACTGTATGCATTTATATATATGAAAAGGTCAAGATCAGTGGGCTACATCATACTGTGTTGGTTGAGACTGACTGTCTACCACATAGCAAGACTAAAATTACAGTTTTGAGCTGTTCTGTTCTGTCAAACAAAACCCAAGTGAATTGGTTCTTTTAGCCTCCTGGCTGCATCAATCCACCAGATCAGTGGCATCTTATCACTGTAAGAGGTTGTCAGTTGTACAGCAGCACTATAGGGGGTAATAGTTCAGAAATCCCAATGGTTGAGTGTGCTTTGGTGGTGCAGTGGTTAGCGCACACAACCTACATACCCTATATCCCAATGGCTTTCAGCTTGTCCATCTGACAAGCTTGTTTGCCTTAACCTCACCTCAGATTTTTCTCTTTCAACAAACTTTAGATTTTGAAACCCCTAGCCGGTGCAGCTTGAACACATCATCAGTGAAGGACCCAGGGTCATAGGGTGTTTCGGGTCTATGATCTTCAGATGCCCTCATCTGGGCGACCCACCTGGGGTTGATCAGGCCCCAGTTTGTGTTCAAGCAGTGCGCTACTCCATGCGTCTCCCCTCTTGATCCACAGCCACCTTGAGGCTCTTTCAGCTGCCTCACTGATGTTTCTGGTGGCACTTGTGTCAAGCAACCCTGCATGCCCGATGCACGGTCTGAGTGAGGAAACCTCTGCAGCCCACTTCTATTGGCTCACAGCGGGCCCTCCATCCACGGCGATTGTATGCCTCAATCAGCTCAAGACATTTCACCTTCTTCCTTTATTGAGCCTCCTCCATCCTGTCTTCCCAGGGGACCTTAAGCTCCAGTAAAACAACTTGCTTTGTCGAGTTAGATGTTAAGACCAGATCTGGCCTCAGTGACGTTCTTGTAATGTGCTCTGGGAACTTTAACTGCCCTCCGAGGTCCACATGCAACTGCCAATCCCGAGCCATGGCTAGCACTCCAGTTGTGCCTTTATCTGCTCTCTCAGGTTTCTCCCCTGCCCTGACAAAGAAGATATTGTGCCTCAACGGAGACTGGTGCTTTGACTCCTGGATTCCAATGCAGATGGTGTCTGCTACTGCCTTCAACACGTGGTTATGGCGCCACTTGTACCTTCTCTCTCCCAGTGCTTTAGAGCAGCAGTTTAGGATGTGCTCCAGGGAATCATGAGCCGGGCACAGTGGGCATGTTGGTGCTTCTGCAAGGCCCCAGGTATTAAGGTTAGATGGACTTGGAAGGACATCATACACTGACTGGATCAGGAACTTAAGTCTTGCTGGATCATACTTCCATAATTCTGTCCAGGTGATCTTCTGGGCAGATGCCTGGTCCCAATTGGTCCAGGCTCCCGGCTGGCGCACTTTCACCGTCCTACTTTGGTGTTCCTCGTCCACCACTGCACAAATCTCTCCCTGTAACATCTGTCGTCGCTCTTGTCCTCGGGCTTGGTCGTAGCGTGGCTTTGTGACGCTATGTCTCAGTCTCGCTTCTGCTTGGTTGACTGCCTGTTGTGCTCGCCATTTCCTTTTAATTCTGACTGTGATCCCGGCAGAAGAGACTCTGGGGTCAGCAAAGTCTCTGTAAAGCAACATCTCCCTTGCTCTGGTGACTTTAAACTCCTCCGTCACGCCAGTCAAAGGATGCTGCAGCTTGTTGGAGTGCCCATAAAAAGCAATGCTGTTGAGGCTCTTTGGCAGACCCAGCCATCTACGTAGATATTGGCTGACATTGCGTTCAAAGCCCTCCACCATGGTCACTGGAACTTCATAAATCAGTAGTGGCCACAGAAGTCTTGGCAGGATGCCATACTGGTTTATCCATGCCTTAAACTCTCCTGGGAGACCAGACTTGACCCGCTGCTGCTAGCCATGCCTTTAGCTTTACGTATTACAGTAACAGTATTATCTGCTAAAATTTAAGGACTCTGTGTACTTGATCCTTCACTTTTAAAACACACTCGTTTCAAATGTGCCATGAGCTATGAAACAGAAAGGGCTTGATTCAAAGACAAGATACATTGGCTGCATGCATATTTGCATTTTATTTCTATCTGTTAGAAATGTGCAGCACAGTTTAAATACGTATGAAGCACATGCCAGGCAACTATAATGTAGTATTTTCAATCCTGCTGAGAATCTCCAATAAACTTAATCTCTGCTGGAACTACAAATATTGAACTTGCCAATAACATTGAGAAATTACACAGTTATTACGCAGTAGATAACCCAAAATGTCCTTTTCTAAAGAAAAAAATTACACAAGAACAAGGTTATTCCATGACGGTGTAAGTAAGTAAGTAAGTAAAAGTGGATATTTACCATATTTAAATACGCTGTTTTCGCTTGTTATGTTCCTGCAGTATATATCAGTAGCCAGTTTGTAATGAAACTCGTATTCACAGCATTTGTTGTATGGAATATCATCCACAGTCCACTTTTCATTGAACTTATACTCACGGTGATGCTGAAACAAAAAAAAAACATTTTTACTTGCCTACTTACATTACATTACTGTAAATGTGTAACAAATAGAATGCATGTTAGTTGAGCAAAGCGATACACACACCTTTAACTAGCTTTTGTGTTCTTTTTAATGTAAGTGTATTAGCATGTTATCTCAGGTTTGTAATAAACACGCACACAAAAATGTACTCAAGTTAGTGTTTTATCCATATAAACACTTTATATTGACTGAAATTCATTGTACTTACTACATTTATGCTTGGCCCTGACATTGTCCCCAACACTTACCCTTACAAGTATATTCCTAACCAGAACCTTAAGCTAAATAGTTCTCACCATACCTCTAAACCGACTCCTTGGGATTGAAAATAGACATCTGCCAGATTAGTACCGGCCTTTGGTCACTGTCTTACTTAAAGGAGCACCTCGGTTAGCCAATAAACTTCTTTCCTGCTGTCTGTCCTGATTTAGTTGATACAAAGAGAGTCGCCCAAATGCATGCTCAGTGTGAAGAATTGCTAGAAGTTTATGCTTTCAGTTTCATTGTGTCCTCGGGCAACAAATTTCATCTGCATTTCCTACTGATGGTGGTCAGGGGGCCAGGTGGCACCAGTGTACGGCAGTCTTGCTTCTGTCAGTGAGTCCCAGGGTAGCTGCTGCTACAATGTCATTTGCCACCATAAGTTTGTGAGTATGTGCGTGAATGGGTGAATGACTGATTGTAGTGTAAAGTGCTTTGGTCAAGACTTCTGACTTGAAAAAGAGCTCTACAAATACAGGACTTTTACCATTTACAGAGTCAAGAATGCAATGCAATCAACTGACCAGTGTCACTTAATGCTCATACAAGCCGGGCGAATCCTACAGAGTTTGTTTTCCATCAATAAAAAGCTGCTAACTAGTCTATCTATGATCTGTTTGATTTATCGCTGCAAGGTGTCTTGAGATGAGCTGGGTTGTGAATTATACAAATAAACCTAAATTAACTCACTCCCCAATTTACTATCCACATGAAAAAACAGTTGTTGTTTTTTTTTTGGTTGATGGGCTGAAAATTGTATCTTTTTAAACAAAAATTTTTTTTTTCAAAAACCAGCTCTTGTCATGAATCTGCCCCAAACTAAACCTAGATCCACCTTTTTAGAGTCACTTTTGTGACACAACTTTTTTAAATTTGAACATTTGAGCGTTGACATGGAAACTTACCATTTCCTCTCCACATTCTTTGTACCAGATAAAGCAGTTCCAATCACATCCAATACTTGGAATCTCCCATGTCAGTTGGAGATTCTGCCCATTCTCCTGCACTGTGACATTTGGCACCGGTATTGCTGAAACATAAAAATATATATATATATATATATATATATATGAATATCAAAGAGCCATACTGGGCACGATGCAGTTAAATAATTAAATAAGTAGCCAAAGACAACCGACCATATTGAGGTCTAAAGGTGTTCATTCTCTTCTCACTCTCCACAAGAATAAGGGGGTCTTGACTGCCTTTAACTTTGACTTCACAAACATTCCTCTCTTTTTCTTTGGAAGACCCTTTACACTTCGTTAATGTTTTTATGTGCTCCTCCTCTTGCCCTGGAACCCTGAAACAACAACAGGAATAGCTGAGGGGTGAACAAAGTTCCTTCTGCTTCACCTAAAAAATGCAAATGCAAGTTCCTTAACAGCCACTAGATGGAGACCTTACTCTGTAACAAAAAAAGTTACTGTAAATAAAACTGTACATTCAATATTAACAAGGTTCATAAACATGAAGAATACCACACTATCTCTTTGGACATTTGAATTCTTTCTTTTAAGTTTTTTAATTTATTTTTTTTATTTTGTAAAAAACAGACATTGTTGAGAATAATAAACAAACTGATTCTTACCTGTAAGACACAGTCGGACTCGGTGATTGGTCAATTGGAATCCAGGAACAATTAAAACTGCTGCGCAGGAAAAAACATTTGAAGTCCTTCACCAGCTCAGCTGCTCGGCACAAACAGGAGAGAACAGAAATAGTTTGATGATGTACATCTGATTTAAAAGCCTAATAGTGTAAATACAGGCTGAGTTGAGCCACTGCTTTTATAGAGTATGCAGCGTCCTCCTCATCTTTACCATGTTCTTTTGGTGCACGGATCTCTACTTTTACAGGCTTGCTTTCAAGCTTCCGACCTGGGCATTCAGCGAATGCATGAATGCTGAGCTCTGAACTGCTGGATATCAAATCTTTACTCAGGAAGTAGTCTGTGTAATGCTTTAGATGTGTTGCAGCACCCTGAAAGAAAACAGAATTAATCAGGCCACATACTGCAGATTAAAGAACGTATTGTTGTTTTTATTTCTTAATTACAGCTTCAGCTTAGATGTATTAACTAAATTGGAGGGTTTTAACTCTACAAGCTGTAGCAAAGGAATAACACTTTAATTTTCCTGATAAACAAAATAATGCTTAAATAATTTGTAAATCACAAATTAATGCTTACTTTCTAAGTATAATTGCATTGACTAAATATAAAATATGTCAGACGAGAAATATGATGCCAAGGACTGTTTCAGCTTGAGCATTCAATTACATTTTTTGTTGTTAAAAAGACAGGGTGTAACAATGTTGGCATTTTATTACCAAAATTCAAGTATTGCTTTAAAACTTGGTGTCATGATGGATTTAGACCTGAACCTTCAGAGGCTAATAAAAGCAGTTACTAAGTCAGCGTTTTATCACCAGAAGAACACAAGGATTAAAGGACTGTTGTCCAAGAGTGATGTGGAAAAACTTATGCTTTTATTTTTAAAAGAATTGATTACTTCAACTGTGTCATGATAGGTTCTCCTAAAAAGTCCTTTAAGCAGCTGCAGCTGATCCAAAATGCTGCTGTTCTCACTAGAAGTAAGATAGAGCACATCAGCCCGCTTCTGAAGTCCTTCCACTGGCTCCTTGTAGCTCAAAGAATGGACTTCAAAATCATTCTGTTAGTCTATAAATCATTGAATAGATCAGCACCTCAATACATAACAAGTTTGTTGTCAGTGTATCAACTTCCCAGACCAGTCAGGTCTTCTGGTTCCAGCCTACTATGAACAACCAGAACCAAACATGGAGGAACAGGATTTAGTTGCTATACTTAACTTATCTGAGCAAACTCCCAGAAAACTGTGAAAGTTCTAAAAACCTAAGTTACCCACTTATTGCTAACTTTGAATGTTAAAGTTATAACTGAGGTATTATTAGTTTAAGTTCGTGCGCCAACTGTTTGATACTTGTCTTACTATCTGCCTACTTATACAAATTAACTTGCCTTTCCTTTAAAACATATTCTGCAAAGTCTAACAACATAACACGAAAAACTAAATTGTTGTTTTAGTTTACAAATAGTACGTATCTAAATACATAGTGGGCCAATGGGAGAAGCCATGTAGCATCACCATTTTTGATCAGAATAGGCAAAAATGGGGGAGAAACTTTTCCGTTTTTTTTGTTTTACCTGTATCTGAAAATGTGTTGCCGATGGCTGAGGAGGTTTAAACAAGAAAACACCACCCTGGATTATTTGACCTTCCGCTTTCTGTGTCAATTGAGGACCATATACAAGCTTTGTCCAATGAGAGGCAAGAGAAACAAACCAAAAAAAGGAAAAGAAGTAACAACCAGAAGAAAACAAGAGTTTACATCTGTGCAGCTTTTACAGGGTGGATTGGTTTGTGAGGGAACGGGGCTTTAAAGGGGAACACCGGTTCTTTTACATTGGCCCCTTGATTTTACGTTATTACATCATCTTCTACTCGCCCATATTAGTTTTGTGTCATTTGGAGCTGTTCCAAAGATATTCCGTTTTGTTATATCCAAGTAACGTCTTCCTATGGGCAATGACTTGAAGGCACAAGCTAAACTGTTCATAATTTATCATTTATGGTAGACCAGTATTCGTAACATGTAGGCAAATCACTGTCCCCCAGACATCCACGAATATATTTTTTTATATTTATATTTTTTAAATACAAAGCGGAGTGTGTATGACGTCATCCGTGCACCGGACTGGAGTTGTGACAGGCAGCCCGGGCCACAGGCGGCTACGCTCTACCCCTTCTATTCATTCGGCTAGCTAATCCGAATCATTCAATTCCATTTAGAGAGCGAGATCATCTGTGGTAGTAGCACTAGACATCTTCCAGGCATGTAAGTAAAACTAGCAGCAGTTCAGCGGACAGTATGAATGAATGGTAGCCGGGGCACGTGGATGACGTCATACACTCGCCGCTTTGTTTTAAAAAAATATAAATATAAGAGAATATAACCGTGGATGTCTGGGGGACAGTGATTCGCCTACATGTAATGAATGCTGGCGTACCATAAAGAATAAATTATGAACAGTTTAATTTGTGCCTTCAACTCGTTGCCCATAGGAAGACGTTACCTGGATATAACAAAACCAAATATGTTCGGAACAGCTCCAAATGACACAAAACTAATATGGGTGAGTAGAAGATGATGTAATAATGTAAAATCAAGGGCCCATCATGTAAAAAACCCAAAAAAAACGGTGTTCCCCTTTAAGAAGGACATGGAGGGTACACGCTTTCTGCTGGACAGGTGAGTTAATCTATTATAACACTGATGTTTATTTTTGTGTTATGTTAGAAAAGACAGTGCAGTCCAGGAAATAGTCTGTCCCCCTGGCAGAGACAGTTAGTTTGTCTGTTAGCCTACGTACACTGGATGAGCTCAGACGGAACAGTTAAGTTGCTTTAGAGCAGCGGCGTGTTTCAGCTCTGTTTTCAGACAAATGTTCCTTGTGTTTCATTGTTTATAGAAGTTGATTTGACAAAGGCGACACAGGTTGATATGTCCCCAGCATTCAGAAAGAACAGAATGCCACGCTGCTTTTCTAGTAGGTCTCAAAAGCCTGAAGGGGAGGCACCAGTCTGTCATTTATAATTAAGTTACAACGCCATTAGATTGAGCTAAGTCTTAGGACAAGTCTAAGGATTTTAAAGTCTTATTTGAAGTCCTCAATCCTCAAACTTTATTTAACCTTAAAAATATATATTTAATACTAGAAAACTCTAAAAAGAGTGTTGTGAAAGTGAGGAAAAGGAAAGAACAAACTGTAACCACTTTTAACCGCATTTAGACATCCATTGTTGCTTTTATGTGGGCATCTCTTTACCTTTACCTTTCTTAACCATACAGTAATAGAATACTGTTTAAGAAGGTTATTAAGTTAATTTTTGCTCAAGGGTTGATAACCTCTAACATTGTGCTCTTCTGGTGCTTGTAGTCAAGTGTAAAAGGCTTACGTCATCCACCCCCATCAACAATGTGTGAGTGTGAAAGCCTCCCATTCTAAACGTTGTATTGTTGTGAAATACTACAGTGGAAGTTCATATAACCCGCCAATGTCATTTTACAGGTTTTGAAAGAAATACCTGTTTTTATGACTGACAGAAAATCTTTTTGACACTGAGTAAAGATCTAAAGAATCAAATGTGACTGAATATTGGGTAAAATAATATGAAATAAAAATGCTGGAAATTATAAACCTAATTTGTTTTTTAAAGGTGCAGTGAAAATAATGACAAAGGAAAAGATTTAAGAGGGCTGAAATGATCGAATTAAATCTCAGTCCAACAGAGGTGTAAACCATTTACATAATCAAACATTTAGGAAGGTTAACTCCCTTTTCAACCAAATTAAACATAGGCAATCTGAACTCTTTAGGATATATATGACTGAAGAATTATAAAAGAAATGTGCAATGCTGTGATGATTTTGTCAAGCAAGACAAAACTTTTCATTACAAAACTGAATGTTATTTTCTGTTGAGGAAAGTATTAACAAACAAGAAAATATATTGCATATATTGCAATTCCTGATAAGGATATTTAAAAGGGCATAAATAAATGTATTGCATTGTTTTACTTTAGTTGCATAGGATCACACTAAATGGCCTAAACTCCAACTTTAGGACATGTATTTAGATGGAAACCATCTCATATTTATAAGATCCTTTTTTCAGCAGTGGAACATTCATTTAATTTGAAATCATATGCATATCTTTTAAAATGACAAATGGAAAGAGTGAGACAAGAGAGCTGCAATATTTACAGGTTTGTTATCCTTGCGCTGTATCATATATTCGACTTTACAATCCTCTGGCAGCTCCTTGGGCCTCTTCCAAAACCAGGTCACATTGACAAGAAAACCATCGACCCAATGAAAAGAAGTATTGTAAGGTGCAGGAAGGTGAATATCTGTAGGAGAAAAAACAAACATCACAGATGGGTTAATCAAACAGTGAAAATTTGCTGGAGTTAGACACAGCCTTAGTAGTTCTTACTCGAAAGCCTTTTCATTTTTGGGACATAGACCTAAAACCAATGATCAAATAAAATTAAAAACCAGGAGAAACAAAGAAAAGTAAACAGATGTTTCTAGTTTTCATGATATGAGCCCTTGAATTATAAATTACCTACTGTAAATTAAGTTAAAAAAAAAGTGAATAAGAAAAAAAGCTCATTGAAAAGTTAAAAAGGTAAGTTAAAAAGTTAATAAGCCTAGTAAACAATTATATTTAGGCTTATAAACTAAAAGATTCAAGCTTTAATGCCTCTAAGGTTATGTTGTACCAAAGAAAATGTGTTTCTTTCACTATCAGAGTGTTTTTCATGAATTTCTTATAGAAGCACTTTTGTTATTTTTCTTAATATATTCAGGAAAGTTGGCGTTTCTAGTTATTGCATTGACATTCATTTTGCCATCAAAATATCAATATTTTTTTATTACTACAAAGGTAATAAGGTCTTGTCCTGGATTCTCTATAAAGAGTTAATAATAAAAACGAGGGTGGTGTACCATTTAGCTTTAGCTGTACAGACATCCTAAGTTCCAAAAACTCATTTCAGGGAGGTGCTTTCTGTCTTTCATGGACTTCATCAAACAGTGCACCTCGCCACGGTGTCATCATTCCTCACCATGGACGGTTCTAGACAGGGGCCAACGGGGGCTAGAAATTCTAATGATGATATGCGCTGGAACAGACATGGTTACTGATAGATCCTTTGGAACTACTTCATTATTTTTCTTTATAAATTCTGTTTTACTAATTATTCAAAAGCAATAAGATGATAGCTTCAGTGGTATTGAGATAAGATCCCAGTTTTAATCTGCTAAATGTTTTGTTTTTCACAACACATTTAAAAAAATCCTCTAATTTTTACAGATGAATTTAGTTCTAATTCAAATTTTTTAGAAAACAGTAGTTTTAACTCAAATTAAGTCAAAAATGTGTAAACTTTCTAAATTACAAATGTATATTGACCTCATAAGAAACAGAATTTCTATTGAACCTAATTGAAAAGAAACTTCACCTCATGCAGCTCTCTTAATATATTTGAATCCCTTGCCCTGTTTTTTATTTCATGCTTTTCTGGGCCCCCATGAAAACATGCTGCCCCCCTCCTGGCCCCCTGGTACATTTGATCTAGATCCGCCACTGTTCCTCCCCTTCACTAGACGTGGATATACTTTAGTAAATTTCCTCGAGGATTCAACCTCTGCCGTTTCACAGGATGCATAGCTTTGAGTGGTAACTAGGTGACTGCCAGAGAGTAACCAGAGAAACTTATCAGACTGATCCAATCAGCTCTCTGATCAACCAGTCGCCTGGATCGCTGGTTGAACAGAGCATCACTTTGCACAGGTTTCACAAGTAACCTCCTCCTCACACCCCACGCTCTCTTGTTGTCTGCGCAATCGAAGTAGGTCTAATCTGCACATGATGCACGACTTATTGCCTGCCCGCTCTCAATCCATTAAAAAACACCGCCTCGCAGAGTGTAAAATCCGGGATAATTTATCCGACTCACGGCATCCGTGAACAACTATCGATATCAGGGAGACTCCCGGAACTTCCGGGAGACTTGGGATGTCTGGCTGTACAAAGATAGGATCACAACTATCCTCTACTAGATCAGCGTCTCCATAGTCATAAGTCGCTTTTGGCCATCTTGATCTATTAAATTATGAATTATTCACCATTTTTCCTATTCCCCTGCCCCCATAAAAAAAGCAAACAAAAAAAACTGCCCCTTCAAAATCTTTCACCAATGCTGTCAGACACTGCTGTCTGGGTATGAGTCGCAATTGTAGGGATTTCCTAATCAATATCGACATCAGAAATCAATGTCAAGATATCAAAAACTGATATTGGAATATATCTGTTTGCATCTAAACTTTCAGATTAAAGCTAACTGATAGAAACGATCAATTTCTTTTTGAAGTTTACGTAACCAACTAGTTAATGCCAAATGCGTCAGTTGTTCTCATACCTAGAGTTGTTGACTCTTGTTCGCTTCTATTTAGTTACTATCAGTGGATCAAGCCTTTTCCAACATCTCACTACAAAATTATGCATATTTTGTGCTGATACTGTATCGGGTAAACAATAGTATCAGCTCCAAAAAAGTAAAAAAAAAAAAAAACAATCCACTGGACTTTGTTTCCAAGTTTGAAGACGTTTCGCTTCCCATCCAGAAAGCTTTTTTCATTCAAAATGTTTGAAATAGCTTTAAGTTTGAGGTTTTATACAGTAGCCCAACAAAGCCTTGTTTTTGCTTAGAAAACATGCAAATTGAAACGGAAAAACAGGTTCAACCCTTTGGAATGGGGGTCATTTTGCTTCATTGTGAGCCTGCAATGCCCGCAAAGCAGTATTGCTTAATGCTCAAAAGTGTTATACCCTTGGAAATGAAGTTGTATCAGATAATTCTACACACAAATAGATATGCTCCAGTAATCAATAAAATCATAATTTTGTGCAAAACTCGAAGAAACACCTGAAGTTACTGATGTAATTTGTTCATACCTTTTGCCAATAGGTATTATTAGAAGTAACCCAAACTATTTCAGATGCTTCTCTAAGTGAATTTTTAGTTTGTTATTCCTATGGTTACATAAAAACACATACTTTAGCTCAAATAATAAAAAAGTGCTCTACTGCACTAAATTTAAGGGTTTTCTACATATATAAATCAACTGAATTCATAACAACAAACCATTGAAGCTTTCACAGTAAACAAAGATTGTACAAAACGTAATCTTCAAACCATGCCCAACATTATCTTAAGGCTCCATTTCAGCTTCTATTTTATTTATCTTTACTTACTTCCACTAGGATGCCTTTATTGAAAAAAGCAATGTATAATTTATTGTTATGCTGATGACATCCAGAAATATTTACTTTTAAAATCTGATGGAGCCGAGCATGGAGAATTTGTGGAAGTGTTTACAGGATATCAGAATTTGGATGGAGCTGTACTTCCTCAGCTTATTTAAAAATAAAACAGAGACCATTGTGTTTGGAAAAACTGACCTGTTGACTGGATGCAAAAGCACTTCTCCCACTGTTCTTCAGTTAGGAATCTCTAGGTTATTTTGAATAACTTCAAATATGACAGGCATGTAAGTGCAGTTGTTCAGTCTATTTCTTTTTTCTTTTTAATCTGAGGTTAATTAGTCCATGTATTCCCTATTTCTAGATGTTATCCTTTAAAGGGTCATTGATGCTTTTCTCTTTTCTACACTGGAAAAACTTTCCTTCTGTCTCCTGCTGGTCCAATATGCTAGCTGAAAGGAGGCTGTTATACTTTTTTATTCATTTGGACGATTAAACTGACTGTCACTCTGGCTCCCTGAGCAAAGACCATTAACCCACACTGCTCCCCCGGGTGCCGCAAATGGCCGCCCGCTGCTCCCCAAGGGGATGGGTTAAATGCAGAGAGTGAATTTTGTTGCGCTCTACTTTTGACAGTGTAATGTACGGAAGAGAATTAGGGCCACTGGAAAAAAAAAAGTTAACTGATTTTAAAATTTTATTTCATTTCAATATGGGAAAAAAGTCAGAATTCAGACTTTAATCTCAGAATTCTGAATTTTTTTCCTCAGAATTCTGACTTTAATCTCAGAAATTTGGATCTTAATGTACACTCACCGGCCGCTTTATTAGGTACACCTGTCCAACTGCTCGTTTACACTTAATTTCTAAGCAGCCAATCACATGGCGTCAACTCAGTGCATTTAGGCATGTAGACATGGTCAAGACAATCTCCTGCAGTTCAAACCGAGCATCAGTATGGGGAAGAAAGGTGATTTGAGTGACTTTGAACGTGGCATGATTGTTGGTGCCAGAAGGGCTGGTCTGAGTATTTCAGAAACTGCTGATCTACTGGGATTTACACGCACAACCATCTCTAGGGTTTACAGAGAATGGTCCGAAAAAGAAAAAACATCCAGTGAGCGGCAGTTCTGTGGGCGGAAATGCCTTTTTGATGCCAGAGGTCAGAGGAGAATGGCCAGACTGGTTCGAGCTGATAGAAGGGCAACAGTGACTCAAATAACCACCCGTTACAACCAAGGTGGGCAGAAGAGCATCTCTGAACGCACAGTACGTCCAACTTTGAGACAGATGGGCTACAGCAGCAGAAGACCACACCGGGTGCCACTCCTTTCAGCTAAGAACAGGAAACTGAGGCTACAATTTGCACAAGCTCATCGAGATTGGACAATGGAAGATTGGAAAAACGTTGCCTGGTCTGATGAGTCTCGATTTCTGCTGCAACATTCGGATGGTAGGGTCAGAATTTGGCGTCTACAACATGAAAGCATGGATCCATCCTGCCTTGTATCAACGGTTCAGGCTGGTGGTGTCATGGTGTGGGGAATATTTTCTTGGCACTCTTTGGGCCCCTTGGTACCAATTGAGCATCGTTGCAATGCCACAACCTACCTGAGTATTGTTGCTGACCATGTCCATCCCTTTATGACCACAATGTACCCAACTTCTGATGGCTACTTTCAGCAGGATAATGCGCCATGTCATAAAGCTTGAATCATCTCAGACTGGTTTCTTGAACATGACAATGAGTTCACTGTACTCAAATGGCCTCCACAGTCACCAGATCTCAATCCAATAGAGCATCTTTGGGATGTGGTGGAACGGGAGATTCGCATCATGGATGTGCAGCCGACAAATCTGCGGCAACTGTGTGATGCCATCATGTCAATATGGACCAAACTCCCTGAGGAATGCTTCCAGCACCTTGTTGAATCTATGCCACGAAGAATTGAGGCAGTTCTGAAGGCAAAAGGGGGTCCAACCTGTTACTAGCATGGGGTACCTAATAAAGTGGCCGGTGAGTGTAGATGGGCACCATGAAGGAAGAGATGTGGGAGCACTCAGCTTCACTGACAAAGA